TGGTGGCAAAGCCCCTTTCCCACAGCCAGGATGGACGGCACGGAGATTTGCTGACATCGGTTACCTCCCCGCAGCTGTAAACCCCCCTTTTATAAGGGAAAAAAAAAAAAAAAAATAGTGCAGCAACATGCTCTTCCCAGCCACGCGAACACATTGCCCTCCCTGGGGTGGGGACCGTCCCTTTGGGGCATCGCAAGGAGGACGCCCGAGAGCAGGGAGGGTGAGACCCATCTCCCCTGCGGTGGCTGGGCATCCTCCTTGGGATGAGCCGTGATACAGCCAGGCATCTCCGCCGTGATACAGCCAGGCATCTCCGCCGTGAACCGTGCTGGCCGGTGGCGCCGGAGCCCTGCCTGTGTTTTGGGTGAGCAGCTGAGCGCGGTGGATGCCTTTGAAAGGCCCCGGTCACGAGCTCGGCTATCTTTAGCCCAAGGTATTTATGTTACAAGGCAGCAGCGTGGCGGCCCGGGCAGCGCAGCAAAGGCATCAAAGGGTGGTGGAAGCAGGAGGGGGCTGCACCGGGACACAGCGCAGAGGAGCATTGGGTGCTGCTCCCCCCGCCGAGAGCCGCTGAGTGACGATGACCCCAGAGGAGGAAGGCTCCCGGGCAGGGCCCCCAGAGCGGGTGCGTATCTGGGTGGAGGAGCAGTCGTTCTGGGTGGAGAAGACCTTGCTGGTGGAGAGCAGTGAGTACTTCCGTGCCCTCTTCCGCTCGGGCATGAAGGAGAGCACGCAGGAGGAGATTGGGCTGGGGGAGCTGAGCGCAGCCGGGTTCCTCGCCATGCTGCGGGTGCTGGCGGGGGAGAGGCCCATCCTCAGCAGCGAGGAGACCTTCCAGGCGGTTGAGTGTGCTGCCTTCCTGCAGGTCAAGCCCTTGGCCAAGTACCTGATCCACTCCATCAACTCCGACAACTGCATCCTGCTGTACCAAGCCGCCGCCATATTTGGTCTCCTGGACCTCTTCCACTGCGCCGCGCTCTACATCAGGGACAGCTATGCCGAGCTGGAGGAGTACCTGGACTGCCTCTCTGCCGACCTGCTGGCCTACGTGGAGACCCTCCTGCCCAGCACCTTTGTGGCAGTAGGAGCCCATACACCCACCTTCGAGTTCCTGGAGGACCTCTCCAGGACCATCTGCTACCTGGACGAGGAGACCAACACATGGAGGACTCTCTCCTGCCTGCCGCTGAGCGCCAGCACGTTCCTAGCTGGCATGGCGACCATGGATAATAAGATCTACATCGTGGGTGGTGTCTATGGGGCCAGCAAGCAGGTGGTGGAGAGCAGCTTCTGCTACGATGCTGATGCCAACTCCTGGAGCGAGTTCCCCAGCCCACATCAGCTGCGCTATGACGTCAGGCTGGTGGGCCACGAGGGCTACCTCTACGCCATCGGTGGGGAGTATGAGAAGATCTCCCTGAAGTCTGTGGAGAGGTACGATGTGGCCTCCAGCACCTGGACGTTCGTCTCCGACCTGCCACAGCCAAGCACGGCAGCACCCTGTGCCCAAGCCATGGGGCAGATCTTTGTTTGCTTGTGGAAGCCACTGGACACTACTGTCATCTACGAGTACGAGACCCAGCAAGACTCATGGCTTCCCGTCACTGAGCTCAAGCGACACCAGAGCTATGGGCACTGCATGGTGGCCCACCGCGACAACCTCTACGTCATGCGCAACGGGCCCTCGGATGACTTCTTGCGTTGTGTCATCGACTGCTTCAACCTGACATCACGGCAGTGGACTGCCCTGCCCGGGCAGTTCCTGAACAGCAAAGGAGCCCTCTTCACTGCCATCATCAGGGGTGACACCGTCTACACTGTCAACAAGATGCTGACGCTCCTCTACTCTGTGGAAGAGGAGACCTGGAGGCTCAAGAAGGAGCGGGCGGGCTTCCCGCGCAGTGGCTCCCTGCAGACCTTCCTCCTGCGGCTGCCGAGACGCGACCACGACATCGCGACATAGGTGGCCCCCCCGTCCCACGTTGAGATGCTCTCCTTGCACGTGGCCTCGGCTCTGCACCCACTGCTCCCCCGGGGCTCCTCTCCTCCTGTGCGGAGCCGTGCTCAGGTCCAGGGCCACGTCACGTTGGACCCTGGGGGTGACACTAGACCCTGCCAGAGGGAAAGGGGCTGCAGGCAGCTGCTGCCTGCTTCTGCCTGCACCGCACAGGCTGTGAGCCAAGTCCTACCAGCCGTGGGCTCACAAGCCAACCGCATGCAGGGCTTCCTGGCTTCTGCAGAGGGCAGATACCAAAGAGATGCAAACACGGGTTTTATTTATTTTGACCGCACTCTGAAGGTGTGCAGCATCCCACCTCCTCTCTGCTCCCATGGAAAATCATTCGTTATATCCTGGAATTAAAAGGAAAGCTAGTGAAAACCCCGGTGTTTTTCATTACTCTTGGGGTTTGGTTTGGTTTTTTTTTTTCCTTGCTCTTCTGAAGGAAAATACCTCCTAACAGGGATCCACGTCAAGGCTTGCTCCTGCCCACTGAATGCTTTTTCAGCTGCGGCTCCGTTTCAGAGCCGTACATGGGAGTGCAGTTCCCACGCAGCCTCGTGCTCCCTGGGGAGGTCTCCATGGCCACTCTGGGCTGCAGCGGGGTCCTGGGAGGAGGAGGAGAGAAGGGAGATGGGGGGGTGAAGGAAAACATCTCCTGGGCATCAGGTGCTTAAGGCACTGAGGGGTTTCGGGGAACCATCCACCCCACCGAGCGCATCAGCCAGCTATCGTCTCCTCCAGGCTCATCTGCCAAGCCCCAGCACAGACCCAACAAGGTGGCAAGTGCTGGTGCTCATCAGAGGCTCATTTGAACCAAGACAGGGTCTTTTTAGGACATGGCAAACCTTGGAAATACAAAAAGGTGCAAAAAGGGAAGGAGAGGAGAGAGCATCACCATCGCATGGCGATGCCAGGCTTGCAGAGGTCTTCTCCATTAGCAGAGCTCTGTTCTGGAAGAGAATCAGAAGAGCCGTTCTCATGAGATACCATCCCCTAGCACCAAAGGTTCTTAGCCCTCAGCACCAGCTCTGGGGACGGCTGGAGAACGTAGACCTCCCTTTTGCGACCGCAGCCTTGCTGGGAGACCTGCGGGGACCAGGGCAGTGGCAAACCCAGACTGCGGCTCAGCTGGTTTCCCATCCGTGAGGCAGGCTTCGGGCTGCCTGTGCCGTCCCAGCCAAGACAGAGCGGAAGAGAATACCAGCTGGGATGCCTCAAATACCTCCACTGCTGACCCTCGCCAAGTTCTCAGCATTTTCAAAACAGTTACCGCCTTTGAGAAAAAAAAAAACAAAACCGAAACCACACAACACAACCACAAACCAAAACAAACAAGAAAACTCCAGCTCGCACCCATGTCCTGATTGAAAACCACTCGAAGCATCTTGTCCCCACTTGCCCTCTGCCACTGGGCCAGGCCACCACCCTGCTGTCACCCCCTGGTTGGGGACTGCAGCTGGTGGAGGTGTGGGTCTGGCGGTGGCATGGGGGAGGCAGGGGACGCTGATGGCCTCCCCCAGCTCTACGGCACGCTGCGGCGTTACCATCCTTGGGTGGACTCCTAGCAGAACACCCATCGAGTCAAATCCCTCTTCCCTTCCTAGAGGAAACCCATTCACATTTCACACGGCCTTCCCCTAACTGAAAGCAGCACATGGAAGCACGCTGCTTTAAAACCATTTTAACAAACAGCTTAAATCCTCCATTAAAATAAAGTGAAAATAATTCTGGTACTAAAACATTTATGGCGGGCTCCTGTGGCTAACCCGGGGCAGCTGAACTTGGAAGGCTCTCCCCTTCCATCCAGCTTGGACACCACCAAGCGATACAACCTTCTCCCCCCCCTGCCTTCATATGCAGGTTTTTTTGACAGTTCAAGGGGGTTTACAAAGATATTTACTGACCAAATGCAAATGTTTTTAAGATTTTAAGTGTAGCACCTGGGGGAAAGAGCAAGTCTTGGCAGGCACTGCTGAGTATGGCATGGATGCTCCCAAGAGAGGAGTAATTCGTTGCATCCATCGATCCAGACCGTGATACAGAAAGCAAGACAAGATAATTTTAGGTGCACGGGGAGGAAAAAAGATGTCGTTCTTATCTCTGCAAGCAGGGAGAAAAAAATGATGAGCCAGGACCAAGCAAACCTCTAATGAGAGCGAGAGGCTGCTCAGCCTTTACACAGTGAGTGGGCACGCCGCCGCAAATGTGCTTCGTTCCACCAGAATTTAGCCCTCGACGTTACGCATTGCTGGCACCAGCACAGCACCGTTATCTTCCCCTTTCAATCTTCACGGTGTTTATCTGCCAAAGATTACAGTTTGAGGCGAAGCAATCTATCTAATCACAGTTTAACCTTTTGCAAGTTTCTTTTTTAAGGTGACATCATCTTGGCAAGGACGAACGTAATGAAAAGCTGTCTGTAGAACGGACTTGCCTTATAAGGGCTGCATCAAAAATAAAAGCTTATATAACCAAGGGAAAGCTAGAGGGAAAACAGGGCTGGGAGCTCCGAGAAGAGCCTGGGAGCTCCCCACAAATACCTCTCTTGGCCATTCACGGTGCCACTTTTTCCTTTTCAGAGCCATTAGAGAAGGTACAAAGCATTCTTGGGTTTGGACGGGTCATGGCCCCCAAAACCTGGGTGCCAGGTTTCCTCGTTTGCATCCAGGCAAGGACGAAGGCAGCCATGGAGGGCTGCACCCTCCTGCTGGTGCTTGGCACCTACTGAGAGATACACAGAGAAGGGACACGGTGTTTTGACTCGACGGCAGTACATTGGGCTGGGAGATCATTTGGAAGGATACAATGGAAAAATGGTACTAATGCAACTAATTTAAGGACTTTTCTCTGCTAGGTTGTGCCAGTTGGCATTTTCACAGGAAAAGACACAAATACATTTCAGAACAACCCCTCCAACCATCTTTACTCAAAGAAATTACATCTGTATCTAATTCACAGGAAAATAATATACTTTTTTGTGAAAACACTGTCCACTGTTCCACCACCAAGCCCATAAGGAGATATGAATCTCCCATTCTCCATCCTTCAGTTACATACAAAAACTCCCCTGGCATCCAGATTTTCCTGATCCTGACATTCCTGATTAACTTCATTCGGAGCCACTGTCTCCACAGTTGAGGGAAGCATTCCCTCAATTTTCCTGATCTGGGCAGACCATGAGGGCAGCTGAGCCAATCCCCACCTCTCTGTTCTGATTTCATGAAGTTCCCCGAGCACGAACCCTTGCGTAAGCCATCCTTCATTGCACTGGATAAACTCGATGTGTTTCTAGAGCAAGGGCAGGCTGGTTTCTTTCCTTACCCTCATTGAATTGTGTATTTTCCTCAAGTTTCTGGTTTAAAAGGAGAAGCTAATGTGATCGGACTGGATTTCAGTTACAGTGTTCAACCACGACTAAGTCAGCTGAGACTCTTCCCAAGCAAGGACCAACAAATGTTTCTGCAGAAGCCTTCGGTTTTTATGAAAACAATCTCTTCTTGTTGATTTATATAATCTTTTAAGAATCCACATTTGATTGTATTTGAAAACACGACACCCATCACCCCAGGTAGAGGGAGAAAACTGTGGTTTGGGTTTTGCAAAAAATCAAAGCCGAAGGCGGTTTGGATCTTATTGTATCTAATCTAAACAGCTGAGACGATGAAGGGCGGAGGTGTGTGGGTGAAGAGATAAACACTCCTGTTATAAAGCCTCTGCCTTCATGCACTGACAATCACGCTTGTGATGGATGTCCGTAAAACGAGACGAGACACCGAGCTGGTGCTTTGAAGGTTTGTGCCCAGGCTGCTCAGGCCAGGGATGGAGCAGCAGAAGGGTCAGCGCCTGCCAACCCACCCGAGTCCTTCAGTGGCCTGGTCTGGAGAGGGGAAGTGGTGCCTGGGGTCCAGGACGCTGGTCACTGAGTTTTCATCACGAGCTCTTCCAGCGCCTTCTCCCTCTGATTCCCACAAAGCAAAAGAACTTCTTTGATTTCGTTTTGCTGGAAACCCATATCATTAAACTGAGCTAACAAATGCAGGAATTCAGCTGCCTGGAGGAAGAAGGAAGAGAAAGGAGTGATGTTATCATGGGGGTTTTAAGGACGGATTTATCGTAGAGTTTCAGCAGAAGCAGTGCTGGGTGACGAGGCTGCAGCCAGGCGAGCTGGCCGGGTTGTATTACCGCTGAAGGGCACTCCTGGTGCCAACAGCAGAGCGAGGGCACGCATACCGCCGCTAGCATTTAAAAGTGTGCCTTTACACAAACTTTTTAAATAACCAATATTTAATAAAGTCAGCTTCTCTCTTCACTTATTCTGTATAAAGTTTAATATGAACTCCATGCAAGTGTTTGCCTGCGTTATAAAGAGACTGGGGAAAGGCAGTGAGTGCAAGCTGGAATTAATTCATCCTGCTTCCCCCCTTGCTCAGGCTGGGCTCCAGCACTGCAACATCTCCCAGAGCTGCGTCCTCAGTAAATAACCCCCTGCCCGACACCAAAACCCGGGCGTCCTCCTGCTGCCACAGCCCTGAAGAACACTGAGCCAGCAATCAGACGTCAGACAGCACCAGCCCAAATCTCAAGCAGCTTTTCTCCCACCCCAGCTCTTCGTTACTTCCAGGAGGAGACTGGTGATGGAGACCAACACCCAGTATGCCACCACTGTTCTTCTCCCTGGGGGGGGAATGCACAGGGGGAGCCAGGAGGGAGGTAGTGAGCATGGGTGCTGTTTTGGGGGGGTTGCCACACAGGGGCTGAACATGCATCATGCTTGCACGGCGGGATGAGAGGACGGATGGAGAAGAGCAACGGAGTGGGTGTCTTTCCCAGGGGGTCCTTACAGGGACGCTGCCCTGGGAGTCTGTCGCGAGTGTGGGCTCGTTGCTTGCAGGGCAATGGGTCTGACCTCCTGGGAGGCTGCATGAGGGGCAGCAGAGGAGGAGGAGAGTATGCAGCCCACTGGAAAAGCAAGCCCGGAGGACACGGCACAAAGGGCTGAGCTGCACCGCCCTGCTCTGACCTTTTTCTCTGAGTACTGGAACATTTCCATGGCCTCCTCCACCTGCCCTTCCTCGTAGCCCTGCTTCAGCAGCCGGTCACAGGCGCCCAGGTAGCTCAGGAACTGCAGAAGAAGACAACCAGGGTTAATCCAACTTCACAGACATGGGGTGCAAGGGCATTTCAGAGCCCACCTTACCACCTTCCCGGGCCATGCTCATGGGGAGGACCCAGGGCACAACCGTCTTCCTGGCTAGTGTCTGATGCTCAGCCAGGGCAGTCCGTCCATCAGCAGGACTCCCACCGTGAGAAGACAACGTCCTGGTTCCCCCACCCTCCCAGGGTGGGAATGGGAATGAGGGGGAGGGAGGACAAGGAGCAAAACAAACATCTGAACCATGTGAGATACAAAGCCATGACCTCCAGGCTGGGCAGGGAGCAGAGCCCATCCTGGTGAGATGTCTCCCCTTGGCCGACCCGGCATCCCTTTGATGCGCCGGGGTTCGGGTACCCATGTGTTGGCTCTAGGGTCCAAGCACAAAACCCACCCCAAGGGAGACCTGTGTGCTGTCATTACTGAAAGTAAACAGTTATTTTTGGCTTTCCTCGTTGTTCTTGGAGTGCTGACAGCGCTATTCCCAGCGGTATCTTTTAAATACCACGAGTATCATTCACTGTCCAAAAACATATGGGACAGACAATAATAAATGAGCTATACAATAGCAGGGGGAATAAAAACATCCCACGGGTCTCCCCGAAGCCATGCCGTCTTCATTCGAGGAGAAACTGATTCATATCTCCCCAGATCCACCAGCGCACAGGCCTCCAGCCTCCCCAGCACCGCCGTAGCCAAGGAGAAGGATTCAGTACAAGACCATAAAACATGTGAAAAAGCAAAAAAAGTGCCTTAAATGCTGAGTTGACCTAAGTTTGGCTAAAGAGCAGAGAATTTTAAGAAATGTCGGCCTTAAGGAGCGGGTTATTAACTCAAAAATTAGATAGTTGTTGGTCATTGGCATTCATAACTTGTTTTCATCTTCCTCGTTACCTTACTAACTAGACACCCCAGATCACTGCTGTATTTTCTTGCCCTGTTGCAGCAGGGACAGCCGTGCTCATGGCCAGTCCTGGCAGCCTGGTGTGCTGTTCAAGCCCAGCATGAAATTGGTACTGTTGTCAACTCAACAATTTTTATCATTAAAAAAATAATATATATATAT